TATGCTTTCAAGAGGGTGAATAAGATTTCTTGGAACGTTGACGTTACCTTCCTACAAGGCATCATTGGCGCAAGGACAGAAATTTTGACGGGATTATTGAAAATAGGCAAGCTCAGACTTCTTTTAAAATGTATAAATTAAGAATGAATAAATGACTAAAAATTTTTTTTTTTTCCAATCATTTATACAGATACCAGATATACAAGCAAAATCAGAGACATCTCCATGCAGAAAAAAAAGCTGAGAACTCACAAGTGAAAATTGGATAAATGCTTCAAAATTAAATTAGATCCCAAATCTGAAGTTGGGGATATGAAATTATGGTCAGTGGTTGCAAATGGAAACAAAAACTCTCACAATTTTAAATCCAATTGGGAACATTATTGTCAAATTCTTGAATTTACAATATGTTAAACCAAAGATTCTAGCGATGCTAATGCATCTTATTTGGTCCAAAAATTTTAAACACCATCCACACTATTGCCACATTTAACACCAACTAATGTTGAATAATCAAAATAATAAATCCTTATCTGGTTCAAAACTTTTAAAACACCAAACAAACTTTTGCCACACATAACACAGCACTAATGTTGAACATTTTAAATGCCATGGGATACTCCTTTTAGACATCCCCGTTAATCATATGTCTACACCAAAAAGAAGGTCATTCTTTTGACTTATGAAAATTGAAGTTTAGCATAAATAAGAGGTAGTTCTGAGAAAGTGGAACACCCAAAAAAAAAAAGCAGCAATTCCTATACACTTTTGTAGACCTTTCCGGTTATTTTCCATTTCAAATTCACAAGAGAGGAGGCAATAAATTCACAAGAGAGGAGGCAATGCTAACAAACACGAGAGAATAATGGAAGAATGGCCTAGAGATAGATATTGTAATAATGCAAATGGCACAAAACAGTAACACAATTAGGGAGGAAAGCCATCAAAATGGAGATTCGCATGCGTGCCTCCGTGCACGCGGACGGAGACAGGATGTGCCTCCGTCCACGTGCGCAGAGGCACACCGTGCGCAGCGTGGCTCCGTGCACGCGGACGGAGGATCGACGTGCCTCCGTCCGCGTGCACAGAGGCACGCTGTGAAATTATCTTTGAGACGAACCTGACCACCTAAAAGTTTAAATGAGAGAAGGAAGACTATTAATATTGCAGTCTTTTCATGGTCTATCCTGACTAAATTTTAAGAAAAACTGGAGGAAATTTTATGGACTACAATCACTTTCCTAACCTCCCATGTTTCGGTATTCAAAGTGTCCAAGTCATGACAAACTGTGTCAGAACCATTTTCATTTGCCAACAACAACCGACAAACATTTCTGGTGAACTAAGTACCTCAAATTCTTTCCCTTCATAATACAAATTACCATGTGCTGTCAATTTCAATTTAGTCTGATGCTTGAAGAAGGCATGATGGAGGACTTGTTTGAGAAGTGAAGTGTGAAAAAAATACAAAGAGAAAAATAAAAAAAAACAAGTGAGTGAAGAACTCCATACACTACCACCAGTTGAAACAACTACAAAATTGAGAGAGATTGTGGGGCCCGTATAGTTTTGAGATTAAGAACATATAAAACCTGATAGTCAATATCCATTTTTCCCATTTTTTGCTGCATCTTTTCACGTTGTTTTTGTTTCAGTTTCTTGCTATCCTCCTTTTCTATGTAGGCCTGCATATAAACACACAGCATGCTCAGTTGCATATAAAAGAATGATGCAAGACCTCACGAGTCAGACAAGAAGAAGTGAGGCCCCAGGAAGAAGTCAATAAATGGTGACATAAGCCTTACAAATGATGTGGGACTTCGGGTGTAACTGTGTAAGCTTCATACAACCTTTAAAACAATGATTATAGGATATCCATAGAGTATAGAATCATTTGAGAATTGAAAATGGAAAATATCCTTTATTTTACATTAGAAAAACTTATTGTAGCAATGGAATAGGTTACTAATAAAAAAATAGTATCAATAATGTCTAACTAAAAGAAAAAAATTCATTCACAATTTAATATCATAATAATCAACGAGAAATCATTTAAAATTTTTCAAAATAAATTATGTAGTACACATTATTGAAAGCGCTAAATAATTTTGCCATTTGTCCGAAAATTCTTTAATAAGCGACCTAAGAGTTAAACAGGTAATCAAGCAATATGGTGCCTTAGCCATGGTTTACAAGAGGCCAAATGTTAAATGGAAAATAATAATAATAATAATGAATAAATAAATAAAATTAATTTAGCACAATTTCTGATTAAATAAATAAAATTAATTTATCACTATTTCTGATTCCTCTAATGAAGAAAAAAAAATCTTATCAAACTTGAAATTTCATCTAGCCTTATGAAGTGCCGGTACAAAATTGAAATGTTCAGTAATCACGACTTTATACAATGCTGCACAACAGGTTTTGCTGAGATGAGCATCAAACCTGTCCCATGCTTGTCCAGGTCCGTTGTCCATAAAGCATACTAAGCAGTTCGAGTACATGGAGAGCAAGGAATGAATAAATAGACACAGGAAAACATATGAACTGATTAAGAAATTGAAATGTAATAGTAAAAAAGAATGAATGTGCATGTGGAGAATCATTCTCAGATTAAAGAAACAGCATACTGACACATCAAACAAGGCTTAATTTAATGTGAAAATTTATTTTTTTATGAACTGATTAAGAAATTGAAACATTGTGCATTTTCTCAACAGCAAAGAAATATTGTATTTCATCAAAAAATAGTTATTGGGTA